CGCAGGCTCGCGGGATGATTTGGATTTTACAGGCGCCCCCTCCCCCACCCCGTCTCTCTTCACGCGCGCCACTTTCGTCTCCTCGGTCTCGTAACGCGAGACTGTAATTTCTTTTACTCTAATTTATCTCTCGCGGAGACCTCGCGAATTACGTTCGATCCCGGATCGTATTTTTACCGGCCGACTCGGCGGCGGCGGCGGCGGCGGAGGGAGGGAGGGAGGGAGGAGGGGGGGGGAAGGGAAATACGATCGCGACAACGCGAAATTCGTGGCCCGGTCGCGCGCGGCGCGGGCGCGGAGAGGTTTACGAGTGTTCCCGTTGTCTGCGAGGCGGCGATAACCGATATCACTGTCACCGGGACTTTAGTGGGCTCTCGATCGTGAAAACACACCTTTGCACTTTATGTTTACGAGTGCGTATACCATTCCGAGATTTACGAGCTGTAGCTGGGAATAATGGACCGCGCGTGTTTTAGAGCACGCACGCCAAGTGGCAAGAATCGTTTTCTAGGACGTCGCCTCGCGCGTCGTTTCCTCGCGCGTGTGTAATCCTCGCTCCGTTACATAACGTTACGTACGCTCATCGACGAAATTAATATACATTTCGCATTCGCATTAAGACGCGCACCGTCTTTCGTCCTCGTCGCAATGAGCGTGTCATAATCGCCGGGCGCGCGACTAATGATCATCTCATTTTTACGTCCTCATCTCTCGATTCTCGATTTATCTTCTCTAAGTGATTAAGTTAAGCGGCTAACCGCGAACACGCCGTCGCCGACGTATTCCAATTATTACTCGGAGATCCGGCGGCTCGGCTACTCACGGGCAGAAATAAAACGCCTATCGCGTAGACCGACTTTCCTCGTGTGTGGATCCTTTTCCTGCTTCTTTTGTGCGAACAACGTCTCCGTGCGAACACGCTACGTCAAAAGTGTCGTGCACGGGAAAGAGCGAGAGAGCGAGAGAGAAAGAGAGTGAGAGGACGAGAGAGAGAGAGAGAGAGAGAGAGAGAGAGAGAGAGAGAGAACGAGAGCGAGATGAGAGCCGTTTTTCACGGCAAGGGAGCGCCAAGACGAGAGAGACGCGCGCACGGAACGATAAATCTCGTTTGTTTCCGTGCCGATGCGCAGCTCCGACACCTTCGAAAGAATGAGTTCATATATCGGGGGCAGAATCGAGTTCATATTAGTCCCATCTGCCTTCTCCGAAAGGGCTTCTGCATGAGCGAGCACGCATACTGGGACGCGACTGCGACAGACAAAAAGAAGCGGACGGCCGAACGCGTGGATACATTCGGATTATGCGCGGCCAATTGATCACGAATCTGACGATGTCTGCTGCACCTCTCTTGTTGCCATACATCGACGTGTTTACGGCTTCCATCTTTTTCGCCAAGCGAGCGAGCGAGCGAGCGAGTCACGTCACCGTGGCGGCGAGTCGGCATGAGTAACGAAATGCAGCGTCGAGAAGATCGACGCTTCGTCAAGAGTGCCTCCTGGACTCGATCATTAATCGAGTGTGCGAGACGGATGGTCCGGGACGCGCATCTCGGCGATCAGCGCGAGGGAGAGACAAAGGGCGCGAGTTTGAGGCGAGAGGGATAAAAAGACGCGGCCGAGCGAGCGGAGAACGCGAGACAGGGAGAAACGGGAACAGAGAGGAGGAGAGGAGCGCGCAGAGGTTAAAGAACGGTGGTGAAGAAGAGCGAGAGGCGAGGGGCGGCTGTGTTTTACGTTTGAAACCAGTTCCTATGGTTTAATTTCTACGGGTGGACATCTCCCTTAATTTATAGCGCCGTCCTCACCCCTCGTCTCGCGTCGCGACCCGTCGTCGCCCCCGGACGTCCTTCGACATTTTATTGGGTCGACCAGTCTCTCTCTCTCTCTCTCTCTTTTTTATCTCTCCTCTCCCTCCCTCTCCCCTCTTCCCTCCTTTTTATCTCTCTGCAACCCGTTGAACGTCTAATACGTCCGCGTGGCCGGGCGATTCGAGCACTCCGGAAAAAGTGATGCATCTTTGTGGTGATCTGGACTTTCGTCCACGCAGCACGCCCTAACCATCTTGTTGCAGCCCCTGCTGCGTCTTACAGTTTTACAAAACCGGCCGAAGCTGGCCCAAAGCGACTGTTTTGTATGCGACACGATGCGACATGCGGCGACATCATGTCGACAAGGGACAGCCAAGTGGAAGAAGCCAATTGGAGCGCACACAAGTTGTTCTTCCCATAAGTTGTTCTTCTTCTCTCAGCGGAGGCTCTCCAGATCGATTCTTTCATGATCGGGCATTAACTTCAACAAAGTATCGACCTATTTTCTCAAAGACGGGCGCTTTTCGGGGAAAGGGGGAGATGATCGGTTTGGACATTTCCGCAAGGGAAAAAAGAGAGCTCCACGAACGTGTTGTCGACGAGCAACACTCGACGCGTCCGCGCGATCGCGCTAAATCGATCGGTCGCTCGCGCGACAAAACCTGTCGTTAAAGTCGCGAAGCGTCTCACAATTCGCGTCTCCTTTCTCATTCCACGAGTCGGCGGCCGAATGACACAATGAGCTCGCAAGTAGGTAGACCGCACGAGAAACGCTCGGCGCGCGCGTGTTTGCCGTGCGTAACCCACTATTCCTCCGAAGAGGCAAGAGACCCACAGGCGGCGCAGAGTAACACCCTGCCACACCGGCCACGTGTAACACCCGAATAACGCGCTGGGCAAACAAACAGCGGTGTTGCGCCGGCTACCGTAAACTCTCGTCGCGCCACATCCCGTTGCGATCGGAGCGAAGAATAAGAGCCCCGGCGTGTTCCGAGGGATCGTCATACAACAGACGATCATGCTTAATTATCGAGGCACAGTATGCCATTGAGAGATGAGACTCAGCGGGGAGTTTCGAGACCTCCCACTGCGAAATTGGAGCATTTGTCGAGACTGCGCACAAAAGAGCTCGCATTGTTGTGTGCAACAACACGGCGAAGCCGAGCTCCTGACGTACCAAAGACGTACCAAGAGGAGATACGTACGATCGTGTCGTGGCGACAAACTCGTGCGGTAAATCGCGGCTGGACCATACCGAAGTCCTCGTGCCTCTCGGCCGTGCGGTTATTTGCGATGTGATTAGCCGCGGTGGAAACGTGCGGACGCGCAGCAGCGTTTAGCACGCGCAAATAAAAGCAGCGTCGGCGCCGTAAAAGAGCTTTTGCCCGAGCCGCAGCCGGATTCTGGAGCGCTGTGTGTGTGTGTGTATGCGTGTGTAGGAGAGAGAGAGGAAAAGGGAGTCGCTTTATACGCATGAGATGACGACGAGGAAATTTCGTCAGCGAGAAGATCCGCGGTTTCAGGCGTACGTCGCGGAGACTGTGCGAAAACATCTCGTCGTACGACTTCTCTATAAGGAAAAAAGTTTGGCCTGGGAAATCCGCCAGGTTATACGCGATGGAGCAGAGCTTGTCGCACATATTTACCGATGAGATTAGAGCGTGAGAATTGTCGTGCAGTGCAAAAATAGAATGCGGGCTTTTCCGATGACACGCTGATCGAGATAAACGGATGGATGGATGGATGGATGGGAGAAATTCGACGAATTCGTCTACGTATATTTTTCATCAGTTGGCGAATCTCGTCGAGGAAAAGAATCTTTCCTTCGCATGAGCGCATTGAGAAAAGATCTCAGAATTTTCGTCCGAGAATGATTGTCGCGAGAATATACACGACTCAATCAAGTCCAGCCGAGTGAACGAATTTTCCTCGAATCGAGCATCGTTGAGTCACAAGTCCTCAGGATTGAAATATCCTCATCTGTCGTGAATGTTTAATATACAACCATAAATGGAGTCTTAATATTTTTCAATCAACTTTTACGTCGCTGTGCGCATAAAAAAGGTCGCGCAGAACAGCGCGACCATCTCGGGCCACTCTGCGTGCGATTAAGGAAACAATTGGGCATAATTAAAAATTGGGTCCTGTCCTGCCCCGCGATCATCTCGGCTCAATTATTATCGGCTGGAGAGGAAACGCGTCCGGCTTGAATCTAAGAGCGAATATTCATTCGTCGTTGGGCAGGCCGCGTTTCCACCGTGTTGCAGTTGGCGAGCGAGAGAACGTGCATCGGCGGCGCGATGCAGTGTATTCAGAATCTACGGAGGCAGGTAGGCTCAGGACATTCAAGAGTGGTGGAGTCGGCCAGGTGGGGATCCGATGGGTGGCACATGGACAACCCCGGTACCGCCGCGAAGTCTTTGGTCGACCAATCAAGTCACGACTGGGACCGTTGGCGTGCCCAAAGGTACAGGCCTGAACCGATGGTTAGCCTCTCCAGATGGCTCTTACTACACAGAGCTGAAAGAGGTACAGTTCCGTACAGCACAGCTCTCTCAGGTGATGCAGTCGAACAGGTCGCACTGATCGAGAAGCGCCAGTCCTTTCCCGTTCATCGTCGTAGTCGCACCGTCACTCGCGTACGTACGAGAAAGACAGACAGATAGATAGATAGAGAGAGAGAGAGAGAGAGAGAGAGAGAGAGAAGAAGAGAGAAAGAGAGAGGGAGGGAGGCGGTGAGAGAGAGAGAGAGAGAGAGAGAGAGAGAGAGAGGCTCCTCGTGTACACAATCACGATCACGAGGCAGCGACGTGGGAGGAAAAGAGGTAGAGGAAAAAGAATCACGAGGATCCAACGGGGAAATAGTAGACGCTCCCGAGAGAAGAGAGGGAGGGAGAGAAAATTAGAGAGAGAGAGAGAGAGAGAGAGAGACCAGGCGAGGAGCTGTGTAGAGTACACTCGATATCGCATTCGGTGCGATCAGTCGACACGAGCGCAGAGACACTTCAGGGCCAGTTCTCATCTAGTTCTCATCTAGGAGGCAGAACGAGATCGTTCGTTCACTCGGCGACAGTCGAATCTCCTGCGGATAGCGGGCGGCGGCTGAAGCAGTGAAAGCGACGAATTTTCTTTGCGAGGAAAAAAGATAGATTTTCTGGGACGAGAGAGAAAAAGAGAGAGACAGAGAGAGAGAGAGAGAGAGAGAGAGAGAGAGAGAGAGAGAGAGAGAGAGAGAAAGAGAGAGAGAGCGGTGTCAGTGTGTGATCGAGAATTCAGACGATTGAGACGATCAAGTAGACTGTTTCACGAACGAGTCATTTGCGGTGTGTAATGCGTGCCAACGGACTCGGGTGCTCGTTTCGGCGACTGCTGCCGGCGCAGACGATTTAGTGATTCCACGGGAAAACGACGGACTCGCGCTGCCGATACGCGAACACCGATCATCAATCACGGTGAGTAATCTTGTTCAGTATACAGCGCGCGACGCCCACTGCGGGCATTTAAATCTCTCGGCGCGCACCGAGCGCGCCAGGCATTGAAGTCTCCGGCCAGCGCCTCATCCTCGTCGCGCGAGATCGCGCGTTGTCGCGGAAACAACGTGCTCGACGTTTGTTTCCTCCTTACTTTCCGCGACGCGAGCACGCCCGTCGCGAGTGCGGCGAGGCTGCAAAACGAGCGCGTAAAGATTTGTAAATTATAATAAAATTCTTCACTTCGTCGTTTTGCAGCCGCCTGGGGGACTTTTCCTTTTTCTCCCGCGACGGGAATTTAGCTTTCTCAGCCGCTAATCGTCTAGTCTTGACCCAATATCATTGACCTGCTCTATTTTTAATGGTCCTACTGCCCCCTCCCTCGAACGGGGACAAAAATCGGATGTAGAGCTCGTACTGTTTGGCGCTCGTCCACGTGTCGTCGACAAAGGCACGCTCGTCCCTCCGACACGCCCCTAGCTAGCTTTTATGGCTTTTGTGCTTTCGAGATGTCCGAGTGGTGGAGAGCAGGGGAGAGGGAAGGAAAGGGTAGAGGGGGAGAGAACGGGGTCCTCGGTCCTCGGTGTGCGGTTAGTCGAGGTTAGTCGCGTCAAATGAAAACATTACCGTCACCCCTCGTCCCCCGACGCCTGTTGCTATAATATTTGCTTACTGGTATGTAGCCTATATCGTAATTCTGTGACACACAAAGGGCCCCAGGGCGACGACACTTGGGCCAGCATGCATACATTTGTTGCCGCAAGTGCGAGAGAGACCGACCGTTACAATTATTATGCATGAGACCGCCGGCGAGACTCTCCCATGTCAAAATATATTTATTGCTGCCCTCTCTCCTCTCCCCTCCCCTCCCCTCCCCTCCCCTCCCCTCCCCTTCGTGCCCGCGCCTCGCCGTTTGCTCCGTTTCTTTCTATTTTTTTTTTCTTCCTCTTTCTCTTTCACCGCGCCGACCGCGGCGGTGCGTCAGCCACCTTTGTTACCCTTTCATACGGTTGTTATACCCACTTGTATACCCGTGCGAGAGAGGAGAGAACCTCTCCTCTCCGAGATTCTCTCCTCGTCGCGCTGCATGTGCACGCGCGCTCTCAGGGACGCATTTCTTCATTTCGGCGGCAGCACGCGAACAGCCGCGAGCGATGACGGCCGATCGTGTACTCTCTCTGGATCATCTTCTGTGATCAAACGGTAGGAAAAAGCATTGTGTTTGCCTCGATGAGGAGGACGCTTCGACGGATGAAGAGAAAGCGAGACACGCGCGAGGAGCGAGCGTTGACACAATGAGTATTTATTTATCCAACGCTCGCGGATTCGACGGGGCGACGGGAGAGGAGAAGCCGATTGCAAAAAGCGCGCAAACTTTGCTCGGGGACGATTGAGAAATTGTTGCGGGACAGACGAAAGTCAGCGGTCTTCAGCGACTTTGAACGTGGCCGAACGCGCGCGGCTGTCATTTGCATATCAACCCCTTCCGAGGTTGCTCGTCGTCGTCGTCACGGGGTCGTGATCTGACTTAACGCCTTTTTGCCGGCTTCTTGCCTTCGCTACCTTCCGCACAACAGTCGCGCGGCCAGCACCGAGAGTCGTGACAAATACGCGTATTATCTTTTTTGTCGTATCCCTCGAATGGAACCCCCTCGAGGCCCCGACCTAATCGCCCCGGCCAGACACATAGATGGGATACTCGCCGGAGAGTCCGGTGTTCGCAGATCCAGTCCTCTCACGTGACCCTCGCGTCGCGTTTAATCCGGGGAAAAAGCGCGTCGTAAATTTTTCAATGCGCGAAACCGCTCTCGCACCTCCGCTTTTTGCTCGACTCGCCGACTTCTCGTCGCCGTCGTCGGCCCCGATCGCATTAATACAGCGCGTTCACGTGTTCAGAAAGTTCAGCGAGTCCCGCGGCGAGAGTTTTATTAGTTACGCTAAACATTTAAACAATATTTCGCGTCGCGATATCCGCGAAACGCCGCGCAGCTCAGAGAGAGAGAGAGAGAGAGAGAGAGACGGGGAGCTAGAGGAAGAGAGAGGGAGAGAGAGATAGAGATCGCCTGGAGTGAAACGTGCGAGGGCATGGAAATGTCGCTCCTTATCTCATCCGGATCGTACGGCTTTCAAAAGGCGCGTTTAACGGTGCGCACGCAAATTACCCGTTACTTTTCTAATCTAATCCGGCGCTCTTTGTGTTCGGCCGACGATGATTTGCGCGCTACAACGATCCACACTCGACCTCGCTTCCGTTTGCACGACGATGTATCTCGTTCGGGAGGCACGGTCGCGCTGAGTGGACAATTGGATCGTCTTATCGCGCCGCGCGTAAGGACGAGCGGGTGGTCTAATGGATTTTTCCTCTCCGCCGCGCCGCGCGTTATCGCACGCGAGTTTCCCGCGGGAAATGCTTCCGATACTTCCGAGATCTCGGACGTTGTCGTCTCGTGACGGAAATCTGCGTTTATATCGCCCGGCTTACGCGAGCATGCACACGCACGCGCGCGCGCGCACACACACGGGAGAGCCTCCTCCAGATGCTCTTTCAGTTGGCGATATTGCCGGCGTCGTTACAGGGCCGTGCCTTCGGCCTTTTATGAGATTATAAATCAATGGTGGCGCGCTTAATCGCCAAATAAAGGGAGATTAAATTGCACCGTCGAGGCGTACCGGTCTCTCGCGCGCGTCTCGGACGGAGCAGAAGACCGATATAAAACCCGGAGCTTTTATTCGCGGGCGAACCGTCTTCCCTCCCTCCTTCCCTCTGCCTCTCCTTCTTATCCTCGTACAGCACGCGGTTGTTTAACGAATTCCGTCTAGGGCTGCCGTCTCGCGCGCGATTTTCGTTCTCGGGGACTCGGGATCTCCGGATTGGCCGATTACGATCTTACGATCAGATCTGAGACGAGGCACAGATATTGAGAATCTGGAGGCAATTAACGCGGAAATTTGCTGCTCTCAGCCGACGTAGCCGGCGCGGCGCGTCGGCCGCGATTCGGCCGGTCCTTGTGTCTCGCGCGTCGTAAGGAAGGAAAACTGTGATAGAAACGCTCGCGCACAATGTGTCGACATGCAGCGAAATTCTGCATGAATAAATCATCGTACGTGTCGCGACTCCAATGACCGTGCAGAGTCCCGTCGATCACGCGAGGTGCGTTATTTGGCGGATGTAGATCGCCGCTTAGTCACAGCCGCACGCGACGCACGTACGCACGAGCGACACAGTTCGCGATACAGGACTTCTCGATCCTCTTCCGAGCGTCGCTCGCTCTCGCGTCCCGCGCGAAAAGTAGCCAGGAAAATTCCGCGAGTCCTTCCCCCCTTCCTCTCTGCGTCACGGCACCCGGCTGGGCACCGGGCTGATTCGAGGCGAGACGACCGATTTTTCTCCGCCGAGTCCTCTCTGCCCAGGATGATTCTCTCCTTTTTTCTTCAGGTTCCGCCGGTCGCGGTGTTACGTATTCATTCGGCGCTGCGAGACGTGCCGCTCGCGACGCGTCCTCGCAGTCCTGCATGCGCCGAGAGCAGCTGCGCGCTCTCTCTCTCTCTCTCTCTCTCTCTCTCTCTCTCTCTCTCTCTCTCTCTCTCTCTCTCTCTCTCTCTCTCTCTCTCTCTCTCTCTCTCTCTCTCTCTCTCTCTCTCTCTCTCTATCTATCTCGACGTTGCACGTGCACACGGACAGCGCATTCGCATGCACGAGGACATGTACGCGGGCATAACGAATCACGGTGCTTCCATGAAGAGCACCCATCGCGATTCCCACAAGCGCGCGAGAGGGTCGCGACCGTTCTCGATTGACTCTCCTTTCTCTCTCTCTCTTCTCCTTCTCTCTTTCTTTTTCGAGTGGCGGGCGAAAATCACTGTTAAAAATCGGATCGGTCACGGCTCGAGGAGACAGACAATGTCGTCTACGACGGTGCGGCTACCTGCGGCCGTCGAGCGCGCTGCCTCGAGGACGAGCTCGTTCTCTAACGCGAGGCTAAACTGTCGCGATAAATGATCCTGCGGAAGGTTATTAATTGTCTTTGGCTCCCGGCCGGGCGCATTGTGGATCGCGAAAACATATTAACCGAAAAGGAACTCCGCCATCCACCCTGCCATATGCTCGCGAACGACATATACTGGGTGTAGGAAAAGTCGCGCGACTGAAAATTTCGTCGAGCACCGTCGTTTGCCGACATTTGATATTTCGAGTCGAGGATGAGATGTGAGAACTCGGTGAGAAACTTGGTCGAGGTGAAATTTACGTGATTTTATGTCAAAGATTGACTGTACGCGATGATATTTTTAAAGTTTGACTAACAAAGCATGACGCGTCCGTTTTCAACGCGGTCGTTTCGCATCAGCCGTCGCTCCCGCTTCGCGGAGATCTCCGTCGAAGTATGTTATTTCCGATACACCCCGTATATATCGGTGCATCGCTACGTCTCTACATACTCCCGCTGAGATGTGTGCACGTCGATGCGCAGGATCATTTTTCAAGGATTCGACCGACGCGCTCGTGAATGAGCGGTTACCATCCATCAAACGGATCGTTAAAAACGCATCGATGCCAATACAAATTGCGCAAGGCGCACGTTGCCCGCATCATTCCGTCGAAGCTCTTCCGAAATTCCCCGACCGGGTATTTCACGGGACTGCCTTTCTCGCGAGAAAATTGCACTCGCGCTCGCGAAGGAGTATTTAAATTTTTATCGTCACACCGAGTGAGCGAGTAGCGTCAACCTATCAACGTTCAAGGATACATGTCCTCTCGCGCGGGACGTGAAATGTCGCAAAATATTGAAAGTAAAAAAACACATAATTGCGATGCCGACGATTATAGTGTACAGAATACTCGCCGTACAAGCGTTTGTCACTCGGCGTTGAATAAAAGTTCTTCCACTCGCAAAGTTCTTCCCGGAGACTTGGCCAAACTTCGGGACGATCGCGAGTTTTCATCGCGGCGCCGCGCCGAAATCTCCCTTCTCGCGCAGAGTCGTCGGCGCCTCTCGCCTCGCGCTCGCTCGCGCGCAAGATCCTGTTTATTTGATGTAATCCGGTAATAGTCGTCCGTATACACACACGGCGTATGCGTTTATTCGCGTATAATCCCTCGGCGCATAATTAAACGCCGATAATATCGAGAATACGCGGCCGGGGGAAGTCGAGCGCGCGCGCGCGCGCGCGAGGAACTTTCGTGCGCTCGACGAGCACGCCGACGCCGCCGCTGCGTATCTCGGGTGATATATCGACCCGTTCTTTCGTGTGTAGATTCATTAACTCATTAACGTACCGAGAAAAATCGTCGGCCGTACATCACGCCGGCCCCCGGACAGTAATCAAGTGCTCATTCTTAACGCGGTAATAAATATGTGAATTAATACACCGCCGATTAATTATATCGCGCCCGCGCAAACTCGCGGTTTCTAATGTGTGCGCGCGCAACTCTCGTTGCCGCGGAGAATTATAACGACGGACGCGCCTGCGAGAAACGGCCGCGGAAAAGTGATTACGGCGCGGTAACGCGCGCACGTTGCGCAAATTACCGCGTAAAACTAGATTCCTCGTAACGGGCGATCTCTTTCGCCGTCTCGTCGCCGCGGCCGCGGCCGCCGCGCCGCCGGCATCGCGAGACGCGGCTCTATCGCGCGAGCGACTTCGAAATTAGCACCATTATACGCGCGAAGGATCTTCGCGCACGCTCCGACAGGTAAACACTCGAGAAATGAGTCCGAGAAATCGTCCACCTTCTCTGAACGGTAGCGCGGAGCCAGCGCTCCTTATTAGTTCCACGTACTTCACTCCGCCAGCCACTCGAATAATGCAGACTCGCGCTCTGCCCCCTTCCCCCCGCCCCCCGCCCTACTCCACGCCCCGGACGAGCGGGCGAGAACGATCCTCGCCGGTCCTTTTTTCCGCCCGTTTTTCCGCCGCACGTGTCGCATATAAATCATCGCGAGCTTTTTACCGGCCGTTATGATCGCGATTCCTGCGACGCGACTACTCCGAACTGCTGTGAACCTTCGCTCGAGGTTCAAGAAAACTATTTGTCGCGCGCTCTCGTCGCCGCGCTCTCGCTGCTGCCGTTGATCTCCTGCATTTTGTCCAGTCGTGCCACCTGGCACGTGATAATTTCGCGTCTGCAACGAGTCGCGTGTTTCCAAACGGATTCGAACAATCGAATCTGATCGATCAATCAATTCAAGATCATCATCGCGCAAAGTGCAAATCGCGCATCGCGCGTTCTCTTCTTCCGGCGCGAAGGCGCGTTTCGAAGATCCTCTCGCCAGTGCGCGAACGACGTGGAGCGCGCGTCGCGCATAAAGAGCAGGAATTCCGCCGTCGATTACCGGACGATGTGAGGCCGGAGGGGGAGGGAGGGGGGAGAGAAGAGGAGGCTGAGGGGGCCGATTACCGCGGAGGGCGATCGAGCGGGCCCCGAGAAAGGGTTGCGAGACGGTGAGCGAGGGGTAACGACGACAAAGGCAGCGCTCTGCCGGCGCTGCCGACACGGCGAAAAAAGCCTCATAAAGGGATAAACGTCACACGGGACTCGTGTTTAATGGCGCGTAAACTGCGATGTGCCCCCGTATATGCCGCAGGTATACGGGCGCGTGTGAGAGCGTGCACGCGGGAAGAGTCGACGAGTCGCCGTCGAAGTCGACAACGTCGATGACGACGACAACGACGACGACGACGACGACGGCGACGGCGACTTCGTGACCCTCGTGACCCCGTAAGCCGAAATCTGGAGCAGGTACGGCCGACCGTCGCGATCGACTTCATTAACGCCCCGGTGCCGGGCAAATATTGACTCCGTTGATGGAAACTGGGGTACGAGGTGCCGTGTGTTTACAGTGGCCAACTCGTGGGCCCCTTTCCGTTGACTCTTCTCCCGCCTCACCTGTTGCCCGAGCGCGCGTTCCATTATGTGCGTGCTCGCTCGTAAGCCGTCGTCGTCGGAGTCAACGACACCGACGACGACGCGCCGCGCCGGCGGATTGGAGGAGTGCTCGCGCGTTCGACTCTCTCTCGGCCGCGCCGCGTTTCGCCGCGTTTCGGAAATTCGCGCGCGCGCGCGACAAAGCCGCGATATCTCGAAGACGACTCGAGAGAGAGAGAGAGAGAGAAAGAGAGAGAGAGAGAGAGATTCCGTCGCGAGCGGGCCTGACTTGTGCGCTCTGTGATTTCTTGCAAATCACGGCGTGTACTCACGCCGCTCTTCGAGGCGTTCCGTTCCCCTCGGTTATTAGGGCGACGGTATTTTTGCCGACCGCGCCGTCGGCTTTGCTCCACCTCCGACGCTCTCGCGTCTCGACCTTTGCCTCGCGCCCCGACCTTTCGCGCTTATTGTTTTCTTCGTATCGCGATACACATCTCTCGCCGTTCCTGCGTTCCTTCGCTCGCTTGCTCCTTCGTCGAGCGAGAGCAAGCGCGATCCGGTGGCGATCCGTTATATATGCCCGTGTGCTCTATTTGTCTTTGTGTTAGGCTCCCCCCCTATATCTCCCTGAACTGTTAGGCTCACTTAGAGCAACCGATTCTCGGACTCTCTCTCTCTCTCTCCCTCTCGGCCGTATTTGTGTGTTACGAGTATATAGGAAGGAGCGGTCGTTCTCGTGATCCGTTTGAACGTGGAATATTTCGAACGCGAGGAAATCTCGTCTTCAGAGAAGAAGCCGCTACACGTGGGTCGATTTTAGAGAGGAGGCTTCGAAAGAGAGGAAAAATGATTTGCTCGAGACTCGCTCGTACCTTCGTTATATCATACGATTATGTTACGACTATATTGTTCTCTTCATCTCACCGTTTGCCGGCTTCGAGTGCCGCCGGGCTGGGGACACTTGAGGCGACTAATCGGTTGGACGGGTGGCAATTAATGAGAATGACGTTATCACGGATCTCTGTGGCATATCTCACGACATCTTTTTGGCGCCGGGACGACTCGCCGAGCGGAACGTTCGTGTCTCAGCTCGTCGACTCCGTCACGTCACAAGGTCCGTCCTCTTGTGTGTTTCAGGTGTGCGCATTGCGATCGACGCGGCACGCTCCGAGTTGCGGTAACATTCTCCGCTATCGGAAGCAAACGCACTGCAGTCTCTCTGTCTTCAAGTACCAGCGTTCGGTCCGTTGGATGGCGATCGAGGAAAACAATCGCGACGCGCGACTACCGCAGGAGCGGGACGGTGACAACAACCGGCCTTCCACTTCGCGGGGGGAGCCTGTGCGTGTAGGAGTGGTAAGTTGTTCGAAGCGTTTTAAGCGCGGCTACGTCGCGCGAAAAAACTTGAAACCCTTAACGAACCTCTGGCGGGCCTCGACCCTCTTTGGCTCGTTCCCCTTTCGTCGTGTCTCTTCCTCGTCGTCGTCCTCCTCGTCGTTCTCCTCGTTTGCTCTCCCGGCCCGCCGGGAGCGACACGACGAGCAGAGCGACGACCCGTTTTCCTCGGCGGCGCAATTACACAAGGAGAATCGACGACGACGGACTCTTCTGGATTATCGTCGCTCTGAATCGTCCTTCAAGCAGCAAGCTCGCGTGTGAAAAAAGAGAGACATCCACCCCGGGGAAAGCCCGTCTCGCGTTTATCGTCTCGCGGCACGCGGATTGCACTCTTATTAAATCGACGAATCCGCAGGTGGTCCGTTTCTTTCTCCGTCTGAAATCCCTTTGCTTTGTTTCCGTTTCTTGTTCTTCCCCCACCCCTCTCCCCCCCTTCCTTCGCCTCGATTCTCCCATGAGCTATAAAGACGCGTTTTTACGCTCTCAAGGAAAAAGATGCATCGTGATTTTGGCCTATCCAAGCCGATCGTTTTGTTGCACGCGCGCTACGAACGACCGGCCGAGTTTTCAATCGCGCGAGATACCGACCGTCCCCGTGAAGCGACGATTCATAAAGTCCGAGGAGAGGCCGGTTTCTTCCTCCTCCTCCTCCTCCTCCTCCTCCTTCTCCTCCTCCCCCTCCTCCTTCGTGTCTGCCGCGATATCAATTTCGGATCGGAGATTTTTATACCGCGCGCATTCTCGATGATCGAAACACTCGCACCACGAGAGGAACACCGGCCGTAACTCCCTTATCGGGGCCATCAGTGGTCTAATTTTATTCCAGTTTACTCGAAAAAATGGCTTCCTCGCCCCGGCGACAGCGTGCTGCCCGGGGCAGATGGCACCGTTCGTCGGATAGATAGCGCTGATTTATGACGCGCCGCTGGGTTCAAACGGGTTTCGATTCGAGCATTAAGAGAGGGTGGGGAAACATAGATTCGGAAAGAAGGGAACCTAATGATTCCCCGGATATCCATTTCTCTCGAGACGGCCCGTGGCCGAAGATCTAATCGTCCTCGCCGAGCCGAAAAACGCCGAGCGAAAGGATATATGTGTGCGTATAAAGTTCTCTCTCTCTCTCTCTCTTTCTCTCTGTCTCTCTCTCTCTCTCTCTCTCTCTCTCTCTCTCTCTCTCTCTCTCTCTGTCTCTCTCTCTCTCTCTCTCTCTCTTGTACGATATATCATCGCGGTGCTTTACGGGAACGTTGCGTCGAGTTTGTGTTGGACTTGGAAAATATTCGGATGAAGGAGAGAGAGAGAGAGAGAGAGAGAGAAAAGAAATCGAGGGCGTGCGAGAACGATTCCTTGAGCGCGCTCCTCCGTCGTCCTCATCTTTCTCGTCGTCGTCATTAGCGTCGCGTAATCGAGGTTCCGCCATACTCGTAGGCATTTTTCTCGTACTCCAAACCCTGTTCGAACGTATCCGTAAGATATCGTGGGAGGAATAAAAAATCGAAGCGAACGTAGGAAACCGGTTCTCGCCTCCCCACCAGTCGGCAGCGGCGCTTTATTCTTCCAAGGATGAGCCGGACCGACTGACTGACGTATCTCTTATTCTTCGAGTAACTTGTATAATTTCTATAATTGCAGATGAACCAACAGTGCAAGGTTTGCGGTGAGCCGGCGGCGGGTTACCACTTTGGAGCCTTCACATGCGAGGGTTGCAAGGTAAGCGCGAGGAGAGAGGAGATGACTCGCTCGTGTAGAGATAAGATTTTAGTTCCCGCGAACTGTCGGTCCGGCTGGACTTTGCGATCGCGGAACTTTTCTGCGTGGTGACGTCGTCGTGAATTCGCGCGAAACGAGCTCTCGAAGCTCGTTTCGTTCGTCGTGTTCGTGTGTCGCGCGCGCGTCAGTTACGTAACACCCGCGATGCAAATTTCACGCGCTTTGGAGAACAACTTGAAATGACCAGACTCGCTCGCGCGGCGGCCGATCGAGCGAAAAATCGGCGCGAGGAGGTCGAAAGAAACGGCGGACACTGGCTGCTGCGATGAGAGACCGCTCGGAAGCGCGCAATTTCGACGCGCGGGAAGCGGAAAGCGGAGACAGAGAGACAGAGAGACAGAGAGAGAGAGAGAGAGAGAGAGAGAGAGAAAGAGAGAGGTAGAGAAGGACAATGATTTATTGGCGCGTTGTCTTCCTCTCTCGGGAGGGCAATGGAGCTTCTCGCGAGGCAAGAAACGCACGGAAGTAGTTTCCCAGCCGATATTAGCCTGCTGCGTGGAATTCGCGATGTCGTAAAAATCGCGACGCGCGCCGGCCGGTGCGATGAATCGGCAGCGTGTGCGCACTCTCGCACTCTAGTTTAAAGAAGAGGCAACTTGATAAGCCATGACGGATGGCGAACGACGAAAAGGCGCACGTGGTGGGGCTTCCCCGACGCGTCGCCGCGCCGCCGTCACGGTCGGCGAAAGAGGTGAGAAAGTATGATACGTGGAGAAAAGGTGAGGGAGCCCGCTCGCGCGCCGTCGGGAAAAAAATCTCGTAGCTCGGCTCGAATCCGTAAGTGGACGAGAGACACGAGCACGACCAATCGATTATCCCCCCCGGATCGTCCCCGTTCGGCGATGCCTGCGCCTCGGCGAGGGCGAATCGTTTGGAGAATAATCGCGCGCCGACGAGGTGATAAAACGTGCCTTCAGATCTCGCGGGGATCGTCGCGAGAGCGGCTAAAGAGAAACCGGCAGCATTCAATTCGGGGGAAAGCGGCCATTTTTTGCCTTCCTTGTGTGAACGAATCAATTACATCTCGCCGGTGGGTATCTCTCCCTCTCGCGAAACTACGTCCTCCGGAGGAAGGATTCTTATCCCGAAAAAATGGACACGTCGCTTTCTCGGGACAAACGCGGGACAAACGCGCGAGCGCACTACAGAAAGCACGACGCTGAATAGGGGGTGGAGGGAGGGGGGTCTCGTTTCGATCGCGAGCCGCTTCCGCGTGTTGGTCGCGCGAGGATCGCCATGGGTAGCGAGTAATATTCAACAGGTGGATTCCGGGTTGCGCACGTGCGCCGGGACGTGTGCGTGCGTGCGTAAGTGCGCGCTCGGCGTACCGACAAACGACAAGGACGACGACGACGACGTCGATACGGCGGCCGATCGGGTCTCGTTAGGCCGCGCTTAGGTGCTTTGCGGGGTGTTGACCCTCGCTCTCGTCCTCTCGTCCCACTAACGCGCGCTACACCGTGGAATATCGGTACCGCGTACCAAGTGACCCATCCGATAGTAATTGGGCCTCATTAAGGCAGATGGTTCTGTTGCCAAAAGCGAGGCAGGTCCGAAATCGACGCGTCGCATATGAATATCAACGCAAACGATCCGCGATCTGAGTCTTCTTGCCCTTCTTCCCTCTCTCTCTCTCTCTCTCTCTCTCTCTGCTGCCCCGCGGTCTCGCACTCCTGTCTCGCGCGTCTGTCGTTCCGTAAAGGATGCGGTGCGCCAATTTGCAGATTCTCGCTCGCTCGTTAGGTGACAAGGTGAGGGAGGCGGCAGCGGCGGCGCGGCGGCGGAGAACGAGAGATTCGGGTCAAGCGGGCAGAAACGCGTCGCGTTCGCTTATGATGCAAATGCCATTGTTTTTTGGGGCCTCGCATAATGCGCGGCCGACATCGCGAGAACTTTTTCGGCTCTTCTCGCCTCTCTCCTCCGAGCGCGCGCGCGCGCTCCGCGGAAGCGCGTGACACGGGGGACCAGAGTTACTCATCGTTCGACAATGAGGGCTCGGCCTCTCGGAGTCTCGAAACCTCCTCGTCGACGAGCGATCGGGGACAGAGCAGTCGGGCACAAAGGCTGTCGTCGCGTTCTCGACCGAAATAGGAGCGGAGGACCCCACTTTCCACGCGTCCGAGTCGCGCGACACGCTCGAGCGTCTCGCTCGATCTCGCTTCCTCCTCGTCCTCTTCTTGCGTCCCACCGAGACCACTCGGGCGCTGGGAATCCGCCGGGCCCTTCCGGCGCGGCGATTCGAAAAGACACTTAGGCGGTAACAACGGCTTCCGGCGGCGCGAACGGAAGAGGATGAAACGCTTCGCGGAGTCAACGGTGCACACGCGCGGTGCATAGAAATCGTCCCTCGAGCGGTGAAATCGCCGCGCGAGCGTGGCGATTCTTCTCCTCGCCGAATTGGCAAGGTTGTTGTGTTACCGACGCGATCGAATGAAACGGTGAGCCTCGAAATGATTAACACGACTTGGACGACCCGACGACGACGACGACGACGAAGGAGATAACGCTCGAGGAACAGCGTGCTGAAGATCGTCCCCGCGTCGGCCAAGCTCGATTTCTCAGCCGCGCTCGCCGCGCTGAGCCGCGCGCGAGTCGGAGTCTCGTCACGAACGACAGATTAAGCGACCAGTTTGGATTTTCCCTTTTCCGTGCTCGCCGAGCGTGTCGGCTCGGCTCGCGCACCGCGATATATATCGGCTCAACGCCCTTTAGACACCGCCGATCAGGTAGGTCCGCCGCGTGTCCTCGAGTGTCACCGCCGAGAGAGAAGCGCGCGCGCGCGAGCGCGCCTTCTCCTTTTGTCGCAATCCTGTCGCTCGTCGAGCCTCGTAGCGGCTCGTGCAGAACTCCCGCGACTTCGCAAGAGATAATGCTGCGTGTCGGCGCGAGCGTGATACCCAAACGTCGAATTTCCCGAGCCAAGTCGGAGCTGCGCCTTTACAAGGCGCGGGAGCAAGCAGATTTCTCGCAGGAAATCGCGGAACTTATTTTCGCGACACCTTCTGTAATAAAGAAACAAGAAATAACGATGAAACGAACCATCCACGTACGGCACAAGAAAAATGAGAGGAGGACGGGGCGAGGGGGGAGAAGATCGGGGTGAAACCGTGATAAAAGGACGTAGTGCGCGCTCGCATTAAGAGCGCCGTAAACGCGATTATAGACCCAATCTCCGCGCGCGATATCTCTCTCTCTCTCTCTCTCTCTCTCTTTCTCCGGCACAATTAGCTCTCTCATAAAGTGACATTAAGCCGAGCATAAGGTGGCGCGTGTTAACACACGGCAAGAATCCGCAAAGTAGAGTTCGCGGGCTCTCCTCTCTCTCTCTCTCTCTCTAGCTCTCGAGCGTCTCGCATGCGTGCGTGCGCTCGCGAGACGGGATCGGCTCTCTCGGCGGCTTCATGGAAGCGCGACGGGCCGCTTAACTGCGGCTATTACGTCGCCTAATTGCCGACCATTTAAATACCGGCCGCCGCGAAACAGAGATAGCGGCGGACAGAGGGACCGCGCGCGCGCGCGCGCAAAGAGCGGCCGCGGAGCTTAGCGCCGTCGCGCGATCGATTCAAGTCGACTCGAGTGCGCGCGATCGGCCGCGGAGTGGACGATCGCGAATCGTCGCGTATCGTCGGAGGCACTTACCGGTCTTAAATACCGCCTGGTCTATAAATCCTCTATTCTGGATCGCGGCTCGATAACGTCGCGCGGCGAAAGTCAGCGCGCGACCGAAACGGGACTGGCGGAAAAATCGACGGAGACCGATTTGGAGTGGCGGTGCGCGATTCGCTTCTCGCGCAACCGCGTCCGCGACTTATTCTTACCGTGTCGCGACAGCTCGCCTCGGCCCGGCGAGAACGGTCGAAACGCGCACTCGAGGAGGAAACCGCGAACCGCCGCACCGCGCTTCGATCGTATAAAGCGGCGATTTACGACCGGGCGGCGGGAGGGAGTGCGCGTATGTGGGCCAAACCGCACGGCGACGGCAATTTTACGCGCGCTTTACGAGCCGATAAATCGCGATCTATGAAAGGATCTGTCGATCCGGCGACGTTACGCGCAGAGCTGCCGCCGCCGCCGCCGCCGCCGCCGCCGCCGCCGACAACCGGCGCTTGAGAAATCGCCATTTCCACAATTGTCGTCGTCGCTCGTCGCAGGTCGAGTCCGCCTGTCCGCGAGTCGCTCGTTTATTAAAAAAGAAAGAGAGAAAAAAAAAAGAGGGTACTCTTATATTTCATTCGACGCGTCTGGCTTCGAAATTTATGTCGAATTTTATTCGCAAACATTTCGCGTATATTCCCTCCTCCGCTCGTCCGTCTCCTCGCGCACATTCTCGGGGAGCGCCGCGAGCTGCTATTGAAACGTTTAAGATTCAAACGGTAACGCCGCGGCGCGGCGAACGCTGAGGGGAACCACCGGCCGGCATCGGCATCGCGCAAAGGGTCGATACGATCGCGCGAGCTAAATAACCGGCGCCGCTCTCGCTCATGCGGCCCAATTCACGCTTGTGCGCGATCGCATCGCATCGCGCGCTCTTGCCGCAGACGGCGCGCCCTTGACGAGGAATATTTAGCATGCAGCGGACGCGCGCGGCTCCGTGGATCCCGCTCGTCGCGGTCGCTCTTCGTGCTCGACGCATTGTTCGCGGAAATTTGGCGCGAGCGGCGATACGTCGGGCGTCGAATATAGGTGTAATTATCATGTCAAGCGCGCGCACGCGCGATGTATCACGCTTTGCCGTGAACGCGCGAGGCGGTGAAAAGCGGCGCGGCGGTGTGCGCGCCCCGCGGATACCGGTTTATTAAATTTTATTGCGGCGCGTGCCTCACGCTCGCGCACCCCCCCCCTCTCCCTCTCTCTCTCTCTCTCTCTCTCTCTCTCTGTCTCTCTTCCCTTGTCTGCGCTGAGAAACGGACTTTCAAAATCGCGAGAGAAAATCAGCATAC